TTGAATCTTTACTTTATTTAACAACTTTTATACCAGATATTTTATTTAGTGTCTGTCTGTGTGCAAAATTTCAGTCAGATCCTAGAGAGACTCACTTAACAACTGTTAAAAGGATCTTTAGGTATCTGAAAGGAATAACTAATATAGGATTGTTTTATAAAAAAAATTCCTAGATTATAAGATAGTTGGATTCTGTGATGGTGACTATGCTGGGGATAAAATTGAGAGAAATTCCACTAGGGGAAACTGTCAATTCATAGGTGAAAACCTAATATCCTGGGTAGTAAAAGACAAGCAAATATTCCTTTGTTTACAACAGAAGCATAATACATCTCTGCTACAAGTTATTGCACACAGCTACTCTCGATGAAATATCAGTTGGAATTTTATCAGATAAGTGAAAGCAATATTTCAATCTTTTGCTATAATATCGCTGTTATCTGTTTGACAAAAAATCCTATTCAATATTCTATAACCAATCACATAGAAATAAAATATCATTTTATTAGAGATTATGTTCATAAGGTGTGTATGTTAATGGTTCAAGCAGGCTCATTCAGATAATCATATGTCTATATGTAGATGGCTTGTTAACTACAGGATCAAATGAAGATGAAATCATGAAATTCAAGGTGAGCATGAAGCAAGAATTTTAAATGTCTGATCTAAGGAATTTTTCATATTTCCTAGGAATGGAGTTCAAAGACACAAGGAAAGAAGTGTTCATGCATCAAAAGAAGCATAAACATGATATTTTGAAAAGATCCAAAATGAGGAAGTGTAATTCAGTAGTCACACCATTGGAGACAAGAGAAAAGTTGAGCAATGATACAAATGACGAGTTTGTAGATGTAATCTTGTACAAGAAAATCATTGAATCCTTAAGATACTTATGCAACACCAGACCAAATATCTATTAAAATGTTGATTTGATAAGCTAGTTTATGGAGAAATAAAGAATGTCATCTAATAGTAGCCAAGAGAGTACTGAGATACATCAAATCACTTCTAAAAAATAGACCCTTCCTAACACGAATTTTACAACAGTCATAGTGCTAACCGTGTTAATAGTTTATTTCTAGGCGCTTTTTGTTTTGTATTTACTAAAGGGCATGTCACAATGGTCAAATGAAACAACCATAGCGAAAGATATACAAAGTAAAATGGTTTGAATTCCAACACCAACAATTAGCCGTTTATCATGATAAAAATGTGATTGACCATGTATATCACCACGATTTTTGTTGTCAACCGTGATGAAAGATAATACTTATTTATATATAAGAGAAATTATCTCTCGCTTTAATACATAACAACTATCTCTCTCAAAATAAAATCCTAACAACTCTTTCACTCGTCTCTCTCCAAACGAAACTCTAACAACTCTGCCACTCGCCTCTATTTCCACCTTTAATATTGTTTGCAAAGTAGATAATATTTTGCAAAAAGAACTAGAGATGAAGGCAGAGGTGATTGAAGAACTATGATCATTAAACCAACTTCTTACTGTCAAAGAACAAAGTACATATGAGGTGTTGAAGAACTATTGTCTAGCATTGAACGTGAACTTGTACTTCTAATATAGCTTAATTTGTTATATTATAATGTTCTAATGTAGATTGAAAGATTATATGTTTAGTGAGCATTGACGAAATAAACATTCCACATGATTTATAATAAACTCAAGTCTATATATCACAACGGTTGTTTAGCACAACTGTCGTTAAATATGTTGCATTAAAGGATATCACAACGATTGTTTAAAGTAACCATTGTAGTAGGTAGCGCGCTACATAAATATAATCACGTTCGTACGTCCATGGTAGAAAACATCATACATACAATCACACCTTACCTTACAACGGTAGAACCAGCGTGGTGGTTTCCCATTCTCAAACATTGTGATAGGTGTTTTCCCTAATAATGAAGGCACAATTGATTATGGTGTGTTCATACCAAGGCATGAGAAGACTAGCACGAGCTCATTTGTGCATGACTACATTGATTCAAATTCCAGTGGAGATCAAGATGATAGAAGAGTATTGCAGGCTACTTATTCAGGTTTGGAGGTGCTTCAATTTCTTGGAGTTCAAGAAAGCAGAAAATATTATCATTATCATCTTGTGAAGTTGAATATGTAGAAGCTTCCTATGCAACATGTTAAGTTGCGTTGATAGAAATGCTGCTAGAAGAACTCAAGGTCATGGAACATAAGAAAATGAAATTATTTGTAGACAACAAATCAACCATAAACTTAACCAACCCTGAGTCATGTCATAAGTAAGTTAATAGAGACATATGGTATCACTTTCTTAGTGATCATGTGAGCAAAGGAAAACTAGTGCTTGAATATTGCAAATCAGAAGTGCAACTACCTGATATATTCATAAATTATTGAAAAAGACAAAATTTGACGAGATGAAGGAACTTATTAAAATGAGAAGTTTAGAAATCATAAATTAAGTAGAGTGTTGAGAATATGTAATTTAAGTTATAATTGTTTTTAAGCACAAGTTAAATACCTTATTATGCAAGTTAGTCGAGGTAGTTAACACACAAACTAAAGACTTATAAATATGTATATATACATGCTATTATGTTGTAATTGATTATTATAAATATGTGTATATACATGCTATTGTGTTGTAATTGATTATCATATTGTTTATTTTAGAGGCCTATGATAATGAAGAGAAAGCAGCTAGAGTTTATAACCTTTGCTGCTCTCAACTACTAGGATCCAACTACCACCACCAACTTTCCAGTAACAAACATCCTTTATTTCTTTTACTACTCTATATGCAAATAAATAAACATTAAAAAAAGTTATTTATCTATTCTTTTTTGTTACAATTTCTTAGATTTTCAACTATGAGACAGAGGTTTATTTTTATTTTTATAAGCCATGATTAAATAGGAGTTTATTGATTCTCTACGAAGGCTAAATATCCATGAACTTAGTTTTTATATAATACTAGATTTTATTTAATGTCCATAAAATTATATATATATATATATATATATATATATATATATATATATATATATATATATATATATATATATATATATATATATATATATATATATATATATATATATATATATATATATATATATATATATATAACCCCGGATTTTGTATTTTCACGTCAGATTTTTTTATAAAAATTATTTGGTAGTATATTATTTGGATTTAAGTAGAAAACTCTTGTTTTTGTGCAAAGAAATGGAATAAAAGTCACAATCGAAATGCATTTGTGGGACAAGGAGAAGGTGCATATATATTCTTATAGTTTGAGTCAAAGACAAAGCATGCATCTAATCCTATCTCATTCAACTTTAGGTTGTTATTTTTAAAACCCTTAATGTTGAATGCCATGTGTGTGTAGCCAGATTATGCTCGACACAATACTACAAAATCGATATAAAATGTATGGATAATCGAAAACTTTGAGTGGGGGCCATGCACTTTGCTTTCTTGGATTCTTGGGGAATATGATGGGCCAAGCTGGCAATGCATTCTTTCCACGTGTCTACCTGTCACCTTGTCTTCCCTTCACTTACATGAGCATTAAACTTATTTTGTTAGGAACGAGTAAAGACTCGTGTGTCCTTGCGTCTATCTAAGTAAATTCATTCATATCTTAGATTATTCGATAAAGTTTGGTTGTTACTTATATATAACTATTATTATAATATCACTAATAATTGAAAATATTTTAAAAAAATTATGTAAAAATCACCAACATAATAAATTTAATTTGTCTAATAATTATAAATATATACAAATACCAATAATAACTATAAATATTTACAAATATATTATTGATTAAAATAATAAAAATATTGTGATGATAGTGACCCGTAAAAATAGCGAGTTTCAATGATAAAATTCACAGAAGTTGATAAAATTTATAATTGATGGACCACTCGCAAAAAATTCACAAAAGTTGATAAAATTTATAATTGATGGACCACTCGCAAAATCAAATGAAAGCTAATGTAGTACCTGCTTCAATGTTGCATGAGCATATCATATTATTCTTTACGTGAGAATGCCTTCGCTGCAACATTGAATAAATTAACATGTCCTCTTCAAGGCCACAACTTAAGGGAAGAGATTGAGATTGTAACCTCAAGGGATAAAGTCCAATGCACTTAGTATTTGGAGTAAGGTTAGATGAATCTTTGGGAATATTTAGATGAATTTCAACTTTTGTAAATTTGAAAATTGAAAATGAAAATAGAAATTCTGATTTACCGTAGTTAGTGTTTGGAAATATTCAATAAAATTTGTTGCAGTAAAATATTATGGCTTAACCGTCTGTTTGGTTTTCAGTTTTGCACCATAAACTCACGTCTACCACATAAAAATGTGAGACCATCTTTTTCATTAATGTTTGGGTAATACCAAAATCACTTTTTTTGATTTGCTTTTCATTGTAAACACGAGTTTATTTGAAAGCAACAAATTGAAGCTTACACATCTGTGTTTGACAATGTAAAGCATTAAATTTTTTGTGACATGTATACTTACCAAATTACCAATAACTTCTTCTCCAATTTTCCACCCGAAAACAAGTTTTCTTCTCTTCTTCATTACTACACATCACTTCAAGATTAAATTTTGTCTACTGTGAAACAATTTTTTTTTCCTTTTTGTAGATCTTGTGAATTTATTGCATATATCTTTAATTTACTGTATATATATTTTCATTAGTGGTAGAGATTGTGTTTGTTGGCTGAGCAAGATATTAATTTGATTTTTCTATGCAGTAAATTGTCACAATTTTTTTCCTGTTTATTAATGCCTTTTATGTGTTTAATAAAATGTTTATGTTAATGGTAAATTTGAACACGTTGTTTATGCATGAAACATAGTTGAAAGTTGATTTTGTGTGAATAGAGTATAACATATGTTGGTTGATTGTATATATAATATCATATTTTATAGAATTTTTATTTCATTTTTTATCCTACTTTGTGTTTATAGTATTATGGATACAGTAAAGAGAAAAGTTTTTGCAAACCCTCCTTCAACTAATGATGAAGTTCAAAAATCCAAAGCAAGTTGGTGGATATTAGAGCCACTGAAAACTTCATTAAAGCATGTTTGGATCAAGTTACCAAAGGTGAACGTATTGGTACTAATTTTACCAAAAAAGGATGACAATGTATTGTTTCCCAATTTAATGGATTATTTGGAAGAAATTATGACAAGGCAAAATTAAAGAATAGGTATGATAGTTTGAGGAAAGAGTGGAGAGCATGGTATAATTTATTTGGAAAAGTTATCGAATTAGGGTGGAATTATGCGAAAAATACTTTTGATGCACCTGATGAGTGGTGAGAGAGCAAACAATTGGTAAGAAAATCATAAATATGTTGTTTAGTAATACTTTTAAATTTATTTTTACCTTGTATTTTATGATGATGGGTTATGAACATGCAGGAAAACCCTTTATATGGAAAATTTATAGATAAAGACTTCCGTTTGCTCACCAACTAACAACACTTTTGAAGGATGTAATGGCTAATGGAGAGTATGATTGGACACCATCGTGTGGTATATTACCTAAGGTTCATTTGGGTAATGATGACGATGAAAATGTTGACTTGGATATGGAAGAAGGTTCCAGTGATAGTGAAGATGCAAGTGTTGGAGCAACTTTTGAATTTGAAAATATTAATTTGAATACTTCACAAGGTGCTGTTAGCCAAAGTAGTGGACAAAAGAGAAAGAGAACTAGTGGTGCTGAAAAGAAAGGAAAGAAAAAATCAACTCCTTCATCAGCAATAACTGATGCTGTTAATGTAATTGCAGAGACTTGTAAGTCACGACATGAAGCCATAACTAATGCATCTATTGGTGAAATGATGGGTGAGATCCAAAACGTGGATGAAGTTACAAGTGATTTAAAATTTCATATAATGTGTTGTCAACTAATGATGTTTAAGCCAACACGTGAGATGTTTGTATCACTGCGAGGTTTTGAGGATATGAGGTTGAATTAGTTTAAGTTTGCAGAAAACAACCCTATGACATTTATGAAGATGTGACTGATCTTGATTATGTATTATATCTTGCTTTAATGATGTATTTTAGAGTTCATGTTTGTGTATTATGGCTTTGAAATTTCAATTAAGTTATCTTAAGTTTATATAGTTTTGTTATATGGTTTTATGTATATGTAATTATGTTATATGGCTGCCTTAACATATGGTTCTAACACGTTGTCCTAGTTACATTAGCTTTGACTCTAACAACTTGCTCTCTTATAACACGTTCTCATTTATAAAAATGGATGGTTGGAATGAACATTTGGAATATAATACACAAGATGATGATGATTTTAAAGATGTTTTTTTTTTGTGGCAACACTAGTTGGTGAGTATGCAGTCAATAATTTATGTAAAGAGTCATGTAGAACTAGTCAACTAATAGGTCATGCAAGGGTTCAAGAAATATTACAAGGGAATCCCACACGTCGTTATGAGATGTTTCAAATGGAAAACTATATTTTTCATAAATTCTGCACTTAACTAATGGAATATGGATTAAAGTCATCTAGACGTATGGGGGTTGAAGAAATGGTTGCAATGTTTTTAGTCGTTGTAGGCCACAAAGTAGGTAACAAGATGATTCAAGAAAGGTTTCAACACTCAGGTGAGAATGTAAGTAGATATTTTCATCGGGTACTTTATGTTTGTCTTAAGCTGCCTTTCAAATATGTTAAACCCGAAGATCCTATGTTTCTTGAATGTCATGCCAAAATAAAAAATGATCAATATTATTGGCCATTTTTTAAGAATGTTATAGGAGTAATTGATGGTACACATGTGTCATGTGTAGTGAGTGCCAATGAGCAAACTAGATTTATTAGAAGAAAAAGATATCCAACGCAAAATATGATGAGTGTATGTGATTGAAATATGTGTTTTAATTTTGTATTAGCTGGTTGGGAAGGCACTGCACATGATGCTCGTGTTTCTGATTAGGACCTTACAAATACGAACCTACATTTTCCACATCCACCTTTAGGTATTTTCTTATTTGTTGATATAAATTTGTTATGTTGATAATATTTCACTTCACATTATAACAATTACTTTATTTTTAGGTAAGGATTATTTGGTAGATTCTAGCTATCCAACACCAAAAGGATACATTGGTCCTTATAGATGTGAACGTTATCACCTTTTAGATTTTAGACGTTCAAGTGGATTTGAAAATCATAACGAAGTATTTCATTTTACCACTCAAGTTTAAGGTGCACACTAGAAAGAATTTTTGGAGTATGGAAGAACAAATTTGCATCTTGCGACGCATGCCTAAATTTAAATATGAAACACAAGTTCAAATTGTTATGCAACAATGACAATACATAATTTTATCAGAAGGAATGCTCAAATGGATATTGATTTTAATATTTATGAAGATGAATACACGATAATTCACTATGATGATTATCATAGATCAACTAACTTGGATCCATTGCAGGTGTAGCTTCTTCATCGGAGATGGATCATGCTCGAAACTCAACTCGTGATCAAATTATAGAGTATAAGCTAAATAGTTAGTTTGTGATTTTATTTTAATACTATAATACATTTTAAATTATATTATTAATTTGTAATTTTTATTTAAATTTCTTATATTTAATTATTATGTTAATTTAATTTTTTATATTTTTATTAAAATTTTATATTTGATTATTAGTAATTGAATAATTATATATTATGTTTTATAAAAATAGACATATTAAAACCCAATTTGATAATTATACATTTAAAATCAATTTTGATTCAAACTACCCCAACAACAAATAATATTGAGAATCACTTTTACATTAATTTATCCAAACATAAATTAATTTACATTTAACTCACGTTTAACCAAACTCAATTCTGTCAAAATCAATTCTTCTCACCTCAGAACTACTTTCAGTAAAATTTGTTTTATTGAAGTTTAACTTATGTGAAAGATAAAACTTGATTGTAGTAGTTTAAAAAAACTTTTCAATTTCTACCAACTTGCGCATCTGTATGTGATAAAATATATTACATATTATAAGCTATTTGGCATAAAAAATTACATTTGAACTTAGGTCATAGGATGACAACAAAAAAATCCAATTATAACCAACTGAGATTTGTTAGAGATAATGTGATTGCATTTATGGCTATCCTATTTAAAATAGAGGTGATAAGTTGGTGAAAACACTCAACCCTATTGTATTGGATACACTTGCAGCCATGTTTATAAGAGTAAAGCAATAGAAAGTCAGGTTGCTCAACCTAGTGATGTAATCATTAAACATTACTTGAAATTAATATTTTAGATTAGACATATGCACAGACATGGAAAAGTCTTATACATCTATCATTGAAAACAGTGATAGAAGTTGTAAGGGGACAACATGAAAGGATTTATAGTGTACTTGTTATGTAATTACAAAGAGATTAAATTATATATATATATATATATATATATATATATATATATATATATATATATATATATATATATATATATATATATATATATATATATATATATATATATATATATATATATATATATATATATATATATATATAAGGAAATGAGGATTGAACATCAGTTCTAATAACCCTTAATGATTGTAATATATATAGGAAAAGTTAAGTGCATTTTAATGATGCTGAATGAATGTATGATGCAAAACAATTTAGATATTATTTCATAATAACCACAATGCAAATGCAAATGTTGTAATTAAGTACACATGATACTCTTTCATTGTGATAGTGTTTCACTATAATGCAACTGCAATGCAAGTTCATTCAGATCAAATTAAATAGTACATGTGAACTAAGAATGATGCATTTCTCTTTAGGCGGAAGAACCATGTTTAGAGCTGGCACGTGGAACTGTGATATCTAGTGTATAGAGCAGACCCTACATAATCATGGTTTTAAATTTCAGTTTTGTGAAGAGGAAAAATCTGTTGAAAAAAAAAGATGACAAACCATACTCAAGTAAACCAAACCAGACATAAAAACACAAACATGAAAACCTTAAGGAATTAACCACATCATACATAGACATTATCAAAGTTTAAATATTCAGTTTTGTGTGTTGAAAATTCACCTCACACCCTATTAAGAATTCTCTTCAATCTTAATCTCAAGATTGATGAACAAACCCACAATATGATAGTAATGGTAATAACAAATAATTATCGAGAACAGAAAAGAAAAAAAGAACACACAAGAAAGAGAAGAATGAGAGAAGAAAATATTTAGAGAGAATGTGTTACCCACAACTGTGAGATTTCTTATTGAACTTTCACTTGCTAACTGCAACTGTGAAATCTGTTCTGTTGTGATATAGAATACAAAGCAAGGCACCCTATTTATAGTTTTAGGTTTACACTAGCCCAAAACATAAAAGACACAAAATATTAAAATCAAATCTAATCATATCAAATCAAATCTATTTACACAATGAATTATATTTAACACACCACCTAATTCATTGGGTCTAAACTGTCTACATTCATCATGACTCTTAGTCTTCTGAAGGCTTCGACCTGCACTCCCTTCGTCATGATATCTGCAATCTGACTCTCAGTTCTGCAGTGTTTCAACTTCATCTTCCCTTCTGCTACCTACTCTCGGAGATAATGGAACCTCATTTCGATGTGCTTGCTTCGACCATGAGCTATTGGATTCTTCGCCAAGTTGATAGCTGACATGCTGTCTATTTTCATGGTAATTGCTCCATGATTCTTCCCTGTGATTTCTTCGACCAAGTTCACCATCCAAGTTTCTTGACATGCACAAAGAGAAGCAGCTATATATTCTGCTTCGCATGATGACAATGCCACTACTGGTTCCTTTCTCGAATTCCAAGCAACTGGTGCACTACCTAACATAAACACATAACCAGCTGTGGATTTTCGATCCTCAGCATCACTACACCAACTGGAGTCTGTGTATCCCACTAACTTGCATTCTTTTCCTTCATCAGCTGCTAGAAACAAAATACCATAGTCGAGAGTTCCTTTCAGATACCTCACTATCCTCTTCGTCGCTGCTAGGTGTGATACCTTTGGCTTCTGCATGAATCTACTTACCATACCAACACTGTATGCTAAGTCAGGCCTTGTGTGGCAAAGGTATCTAAGTGACCCAATAAGTCTTCTGTATTGGGTTGGGTCGACATCATCTTCATCTGAATCCTTCGACAGTTGCAATCTGGGCTCAGTTGGAGTCGAAGTTTGGTTGCAATCTTGCATCTCAAATCTCTTGAGTATTTCGCCTGCATATCTTCTTTGGTGCATCATCAAACCTCTACTTGTCTTGTAGAATTCGATGTCAAGGAAATATGAGAGATTTCCCAAGTTTGACATTTCAAACTCCTCACTTAGGTCATGTTTGAAATCTTCGATTTCCTTCTTGCAACTCCCTGTTATCAACAAATCATCAACATAGAGACATAGAATAAGCAATTCGCCATTGCTTCTTCTTACATATACTCCATGCTTAGTTGTACACTTCACAAATTCCTTCTCCCTTAAGAAGTTGTCGATTTTCTTATTCCAAGCTCTTGGAGCTTGCTTAAGTCCATACAGGGCTTTATGAAGCCTATACACCTTTCTTTCTTCGCCTTGTTTCACAAACCCAGCTGGTTGTGCAACATAAACTTCTTCGTCTAAGGGGCCATTAAGGAATGCACACTTCACGTCCATCTGACATGTGTGCCAGTTGTTCATATTTTCTAGACCAACAACCAACCTGATTGTTTCGATTCTAGCAATAGGTGCGAATACTTCATCGAAGTCGATTCCTTCCTTCTGAAGAAATCCTTTCGCCACAAGTCTCGCCTTGTGTCGAGTTACTTCTCCTTTAGGATTTACCTTTACCTTGTAAACCCACTTCACATCAATTGCCTTCTTGCCTTGCGGCAATTCGACAAGTGACCAGGTATCATTGACTTCGATGGACTCCAACTCTTCAATCATTGCTTT